CCGCATATCCCATACCCCATATCCCACACCCCATACCCCATATCCCATACCCCATACCCCATATCCCATATCCCATACCCCACACCCCATACCCCATATCCCATACCCCATACCCCATACCCCATACCCCACCCCATACCTCATATCCCATACCCCATACCCCATACCCCACACCCCATACCCCATCTCCCATATCCCATACCCCATACCCCATACCCCATGCCCCATACCCCACACCCCATACCCCATATCCCATACCCCATACCCCATACCCCACACCCCATACCCCATATCCCATACCCCATACCCCATATCCCATACCCCATACCCCATCTCCCATATCCCACACCCCATACCCCATACCCCATCTCCCATATCCCATACCCCATACCCCATACCCCATCTCCCATATCCCATAACCCATACCCCATACCCCATGCCCCATACCCCACACCCCATACCCCATACCCCATCTCCCATATCCCACACCCCATACCCCATACCCCATCTCCCATTCCCCGTTTCCCTTCCCTTGCCCATTCCCACCCATTTACAACCCAAAGGCATTTGGGGTGCGGACCAGGAAGTGGCTCCCACTTATGTCACTGCTTGCATCATCACTGGCATCCCCACCCGGGACAAAGTCCCTGCTCCTGCCCCTTGTCCCGTCGGCTCACAGCTGCTCCGGCTCCGCAGGGATGGGACGCGCCATGGGCCTCATCCTCGTCCTGGTGCTGGCAGGTGGGATCGGGAATACCATGGGGTGGGTGGGTGGAGGAGGACGTGGGTGGGTGGAGGAGGTGGGTGGGTGGAGGAGGTGGTGGATGGATGGAGGTGGATGGATGGAGGTGGTTGGATGGAGGAGGTGGTTGGATGGAGGAGGTGGGTGGATGGAGGTGGTGGATGGATGGAGGTGGTTGGATGGAGGAGGTGGTTGGATGGAGGAGGTGGTTGGATGGAGGTGGTGGATGGAGGAGGTGGGTGGATGGAGGTGGTGGATGGATGGAGGTGGTTGGATGGAGGAGGTGGTTGGATGGAGGAGGTGGGTGGATGGAGGTGGTGGATGGATGGAGGTGGTTGGATGGAGGAGGTGGTTGGATGGAGGAGGTGGTTGGATGGAGGAGGTGGAAGGCGAAGGTTGATGGATGGAGAAGGTGGTTGGGTGGAGGAGGTGGACGGATGGAGGAGGTGGATGGATGGAGGAGGTGGATGGATGGAGAAGGTGGATGGATGGAGAAGGTGGTTGGGTGGAGGAGGTGGATGGATGGAGGAGGTGGATGGATGGAGGAGGTGGATGGATGGAGAAGGTGGATGGAGGAGGTGGATGGATGGAGGAGCTGGATGGAGGGAGGAGGTGGATGGATGGAGAAGTGGTTGGATGGAGAAGGTGGATGGAGAAGGTGGATGGATGGAGAAGGTGGATGGGTTGAGACGGTCAATGGATGGAGGTGGGTGGATGGAGGAGGTGGATGCATGGAGAAGTGGTTGGATGGAGAATTAGGATGGTGGGAGTAGCTGGATGGAGGGAGGAGGTGAATGAATGGAGGAGGTGGATGGATGGAGAAGTGGTTGGATGGAGAATTAGGATGGTGGGAGTAGCTGGATGGAGGGAGGAGGTGAATGGATGGAGGAGGTGGATGGATGGAGAAGGTGGATGGATGGAGAAGTGGTTGGATGGAGAAGGTGGATGGAGAAGGTGGATGGATGGAGAAGTGGTTGGATGGAGAAGGTGGATGGAGAAGGTGATTGGATGGTGAAGTGGTTGGATGGAGAAGGTGGTTGGATGATGAAGTGGTTGGATGGAGAAGGTGGTTGGATGATGAAGTGGTTGGATGGAGGAGGTGGATGGACAAGGATGGAAGGAGGAGGTGGATGGAGGAGGTGGATGGATGAGGAAGTGGTTCGACGGAGGAGGTGGTTGGATGGAGGAGGTGGATGGATGGAGGAGGAGGATGGATGGAGAAGGTGGATGGATGGAGAGGGTGGATGGATGGGGAAGTGGTTCAATGGAGGAGGTGGGTGGATGGAGGAGGAGGATGGATGGGGAAGTGGTTCAATGGAGGAGGTGGGTGGATGGAGGAGGAGGATGGATGGAGAAGGTGGATGGATGGAGGGGGTGGATGGATGGGGAAGTGGTTCAATGGAGGAGGTGGGTGGATGGAGGAGGTGGATGAATGGAGGGGGTGGTTGCAGGAGGTTTTGGGGCATCTCCTCATGTCTGAACCCCAACAGGAGCTGCCTGTGGTGAGAACATGAACGTGAACCACACGGATGGGCCAGAGACCACGGTCACATCCAGGACCAGTGCACAAAATGGCTCCATGGGGACCAACATCACTGGAACCACCCCCACCACCTCCACCCCTGCTGAGATGACCTCGAACCTTGCTCCAAACACCACAAGAAAGCCTTCTTCTTCCTTCTCCACCCATGGACTCGCCTCCACTGCCCTTATCGCACCTGAGGTCACCTGCTGCCACCTCCGCACTGGGGGGCTCCATGAGCTCCCCAAAACCATCTCTTGACACCTCCAAAACCTTCCCCGCCTCTGGAGCCACCTCCAGTACTGCCACCACCAAGGGAGTGACCTCAACCAATGCCCCAACCTCAACAGGAGAGCCTCCAACCTCCTCTTCCACCTCTGGAGCCACCTCCCGTGCCGTCACCACCAATGGGGTGACCTCCACCAATGCTTCAACCACCTCTGTTGTTACCTCTACCATATCCTTGACCACTGGAGAAACTTCCTCTGCTGCCAGCTCCAATAGGATGACCTCACCCGATGCTGCAACCACGTCAGCAGAGGCTTCCACCTCCTTCACCACCTCTGGAGCCACCTCCACTGTTCCCACCTCAACAGCAGTGACCACCAGGAGTGCCACAACCACCTCCATTAATGCCTCCACATCATTCTCCACATCTGGAGCCACCTCCAGTGCTGCGACCACCAATGAGGTGACCTCAACCAATGCCCCAACCTCAACAGCAGAGCCTCCAACCTCCTTCTCCACCTCTGGAACCTCTTCCACTGCTGTCACCTTCACTGAGGTGACCCCGATGTCATCCACAGCCACCTCAATGGACACCTCCACGCTCTCCTTCACCTCTGAAGTCACCTCAACTGCTCCTATCTCCACAGGGGTGACCTTCACAACAGCTCCAACCACCTCTGTTGATGCCACCACGAGCTTCTCCACACCTGGAGCCACCTCCTCTGCTGTCACCACCAATGACTTGACCTCCACCAGTGGCCCAACCACCTCTATTGATGCATCCACCTCATTCACCACCATTGGAGCCACCTCCTCGGGTGTCACTTCCATAGAGGAGACCTCCATGACAGCCACAACCACTCCAACAGAGCTTCCAACCTCCTTCTCCACACCTGGAGCCACCTCCTCTGCTGTCACCTCCAATGTGCTCACCTCCGTCAGTGCCACAACCACCCCAACAGAGCTTCCAACCTCCTTCTCCACCTCTGGAGCCACCTCCTCTGCTGCCACGTCCACTGATGTGACCTCTACAACACCTCCAACCATGTCAGAAGCTGCCTCCACGACGTTCTTGACCATTGGATCCACCTCAACTCCTCCCATGTCCACATTGGTGACCTCCACACCAGCTCCAACCACCTCTGTTGATGCCTCCACATCATTCTCCACCAATGGAGCCACCTCCTCCGCTGCAACCTCCAATGTGATGACCTCAACCAATGCCCCAACCTCAACGGCAGAGCCTCCAACCTCCTTCTCCACCTCTGGAACCTCTTCCACTGCTGTCACCTTCACTGAGGTGACCCCGATATCAACCACAGCCACCTCAATGGACACCTCCACGCTCTCCTTCACCTCTGAAGTCACCTCCAGTGCTCCCATGTCCACAGGGGTGCCCTCCACAACAGCTCCAACCACCTCTGTTGATTCCTCCACATTATTCAGCACTACTGGAGCCACCTCCTCTGCTGTCACCACCAATGAGTTGACCTCCACCAGTGCCCCAACCACCTCTACTGATGCATCCACCTCATTCACCACCATTGGAGCCACCTCCTTGGGTGTCACTTCCACAGATGAGACCTCCATGACAGCCACAACCACTCCAACAGAGCCTCCTACCTCCTCCTCCACCCCTGGAGCCACCTCCTCTACTGCCACCTTGACTGAAGTGTCCTCCACAACAGCCCAAACCACCCCTATTGATGCCTCCAGCACCTTCTCCACCTCTGGAGCCACCTCCTCTGCTGCCACCTCCACTGCTGTGACCTCTACAACACCTCCAACCATGTGGAGACCTCCTCTGCTGCCTCGTCCACTGATGTGACCTCCACCACTGGATCCAACCACCTCAACTACTCCCATGTCCACATTGGTGACCTCCACAACAGCCACAGACATCTCTGCTGATGCCTCCAAGTCATTCACCACCAATGGAGCCACCTCCTCTGCTGCCACCTCCATTGAGATGACCTCAACCAATGCCCCAACCTCAACAGCAGAGCCTCCAACCTCCTTCTCCACCTCTGGAACCTCTTCCACTGCTGCCACCTTCACTGAGGTGACCCTGATGTCAACCACAGCCACCTCAATGGACACCTCCACACTCTCCTTCACCTCTGAAGTCACCTCCAGTGCTCCCATGTCCACAGGGGTGCCCTCCACAACAGCTCCAGCCATCTCTGTTGATTCCTCCACGTCATTCAGCACTACTGGAGCCACCTCCTCTGCTGTCACCACCAATGAGTTGACCTCCACCAGTGGCCCAACCACCTCTACTGATGCATCCACCTCATTCACCACCATTGGAGCCACCTCCACGGCTGTCACTTCCATAGATGAGACCTCCATGACAGCCACAACCACTCCAACAGAGCTTCCAACCTCCTTCTCCACCCCTGGAGCCACCTCCTCTGCTGCCACCTTGACTGAAGTGTCCTCCACAACAGCCCAAACCACCCCTATTGATGCCTCCAGCACCTTCTCCACCTCTGGAGCCACCTCCTCTGCTGCCGCCTCCACTGCTGTGACCTCTGCAACAGCCCCAACCATGTCAGAAGCTGCCTCCACGATGTTCTCCACCACTGGAGCCACCTCAACTGTTCCCATGTCCACAATGGTGACCTCCACAACAGCCACAGCCACCTCTGCTGATGTCTCCACGTCATTCTCAACATCTGGAGCCACCTCCTCTGCTGCCACCACCAATGAGATGACCTCAACCAATGCCCCAACCTCCACAGCAGAGCCTCCAACCTCCTTCTCCACCTCTGGAACCTCTTCCACTGCTGTCACCTTCACTGAGGTGACCCCGATATCAACCACAGCCACCTCAATGGACACCTCCACGCTCTCCTTCACCTCTGAAGCCACCTCCAGTGCTCCCATGTCCACAGGGGTGACCTCCACAACAGCTCCAACCACCTCTGTTGATGCCACCAAGAGCTTCTCCACCTCTGGAGCCACCTCCTCTGCTGTCACCACCAATGAGCTGACCTCCACCAGTGGCCAAACCACCTCTATTGATGCATCCACCTCATTCACCACCATTGGAGCCACCTCCTCGGGTGTCACTTCCATAGAGGAGACCTCCATGACAGCCACAACCACTCCAACAGAGCCTCCTTCCTCCTTCTCCAGTTATGGAACCACCTCCTCTTCTGTCACCTCTGCAGTGGGGACCTCCACAACAGCTTCAGCCACCTCTATTGATGCCTCCAGCACCTTCTCCACCTCTGGAGCCACCTCCTCTGCTGTCACCTCCAATGTGGTCACCTCCATCAGTGCCACAACCACCTCTGTTGATGCCTTCACGTCATTCACCACCATTGGAGCCACCTCCAGTGCTGCCACCACCAATGAGGTGACCTCCACCAATGCTCCAACCACCTCAGCAGAATCTTCTACCTCTATCTCCATCCCTGGAACCTCCTCTGCTGTCACCTCCATCCATGTGAGCTCCACGGCAGCTCCAACGACCACTGTTGATGCCTCCAGTACCTTCTCCACCACTGCAGCCACCTCTTTTGCAGCCACCTCTAATGGGATGACCTCAACCAATGCTCCAACCATCTCTACTGATGCCTTCACAACCTTCCCCTCCACTGCTTCCTCCGCTTCCTCTCCCACCTTCACTCATGGGACCCCAATATCTTCCACAGCCACTTCAGAATTTTCCTCCTCCACCAGTGGATCCACCTCCACTGTTCCCACCTCAACTGAGGTGACCTCCATGAGTGCCACCACCACCTCCATGGATGCCTCCACAGGGTTCTCAAGCACTGGAGTCACCTCCAGCTCTGTCACTTCCATAGAGGCAACCTCCTTGACATCTCCAGCCTCAACAGCAGTGCCTCCAACCTCCTTCTCCACCACTGGAGCCACCTCCTCTGCTGTCACCTCCAATGTGGTCACTTCCACCAGTGCCACAACCACCTCTGTTGATGCCTCCACCTTATTCACCACCATTGGAGCCACCTCCAGTGCTGCTACCTCCAATGAAGTGACCTCCACCAATGCTCCAACCACCTCAGCAGAGTCTTTTACCTCCATCTCTATCCCTGCAACCTCCTCTGCTGTCACCTCTATCCATGTGACCTCCACGGCAGCTCCAACCACCACTCTTGATGCCTCCAGCACCTTCTCCACCTCTGGAGCCAGCTCCACTGGTCCAGCCTTCACTGAGGGGATCCCAACGTCTTCCACAGCCACCTCAGGTGTTTCCTCCACGCTCTCCTTGACCACTGCAGCCTCTTCCACCGGTGTCACATCCACTGAGGTCACCTCCACGAGGGCCACATCGGCCCCAGTCGATTTCTCCAGCACCTTCTCCACCACTGGTTCCACCTCCAGCCCTCTCACGTCCACACTGGGGACCTCCACCAATGCCCCAACCTCAACGGCAGAGCCTCCAACCTCCTTCTCCACCTCTGGAACGTCCTCCACTGCTGTCACCTTCACTGAGGTGACCTCCACAGCAGCCCCAACCACCTCTATCGATGCTTCCACGAGCCCCTCCACCTCTGGAGCTTCCTCCTCTGCTCCCTCCGTCACTGAGGGCATCTTCACCCCAGCCCCAACCACCTCCACTGGAGTCACCTCAACTGAGGTGACCTCAACCGGTGCCACAACCACCTCTGCTGCCTCCACGATGTTCTTGACCACTGGAGCCACCTCAACTGCTCCCATGTCCACAGGGGTGACCTCCACAACAGCTCCAACCACCTCTGTTGATGCCACCACGAGCTTCTCAACCACTGGAGCCACCTCCTCTGCTGTCACCACCAATGAGCTGACCTCCACCAGTGCCCCAACCACCTATATTGATGCATCCACCTCATTCACCACCATTGGAACCACCTCCTCGGGTGTCACTTCCATAGAGGAGACCTCCATGACAGCCACAACCACTCCAGCAGAGCCTCCTTCCTCCTTCTCCAGTTATGGAACAACCTCCTCTTCTGTCACCTCCATACTTGGGACCTCCACAGCAGCTCCAACCACCTCTATTGATGCCTCCAGCAGCTTCTCCACCTCTGGAGCCACCTCCTCTGCTGTCACCTCCAATGTGGTCACCTCCATCAGTGCCACAACCACCTCTGTTGATGCCTCCACGTCATTCACCACCATTGGAGCCACCTCCAGTGCTGCTACCACCAATGAAGTGACCTCCACCAATGTTCCAACCACCTCAGCAGAGTCTTCTACCTCCATCTCCATCCCTGGAACCTCCTCTGCTGTCACCTCCATCCACGTCCCTCATCCCTACAGGTGAGTCCCCCCCAACCACCCCATAAAACCCATCCCCTCAATGGGTGTTGTTCTCCCTCCCCACCTCCCCCCGCATCCATGGGGGTGTCCTTGTGTGCTCCTGACCCCCTCCTTCGTCCCACCAGGCTTCTGTTACAACGGGGGCACCCATGATGGCATCAAGTGTCTCTGCACCCCCATCTTCTATGGACCCTTGTGCGAGTTCTCCACTGAGTCCATTGACACCAACCTCCGTAGGTGCCACCTTCACCCATCCATGGGGCTCTCTGGAGCTCCTAGGGACCCCATGGTGACCCACATCCCTTGTGTCCTCCAGCGTTCCCAGGGACCATCATGGCACAAGCGGAGCTGAACGTTACCGTCACCAACTTCAACTTCACCAAGGACCTCTTGGACCCCACATCCGAGGCCTATGGGGCCTTTGAAGAGCTATTCCAGAGGGAGGTGAGGATGAGGGGACCGAGAGCCTCCACGGGCCACGTTGTCCCCTCCATGGTCCTTGATGAGACTCTTTGGTTCTGCAGTCGATGAGGATCTATGGGACCACCTCTGGTTACGAGGGGGTGAGGATTCTGACCCTCAGGTGAGGACCAATGGAGCCCCATGTTGGGGGGGGGGGGTCGAAGCTGATCTCATTGTCCTCATCCTGACCCCACTGTGTCCCCAAGTCCCGGCAGCATCGTGGTGACCCACGAGGTCTTCTTCACCCTGGTGGTACCCAAGAACGTGAGCCAGGACATGGAGGACATCACCCAGGGCCTGGTGCAGACCTTGAAGGACGTGGAGGCTGGACAAGGGGTCTGCCAGCACGAGACGGGTGGGTGCCCCTCCATGGACCTCAGTGGGGCCCTCCATGGACCAAGGGGGGGTCTCTGATGTCTCCTGTCCCCACCACAGACATCCTGTGCCTCAAGGTGCCGCCTGACCCTGTCATAAGGAGCATGACAGAGACATCAGACCTGGATGGTGAGACCCTGCTGCGACCCCAGCACCAGCCATGGATTCACCAGATCCATGGGCACAATAGCTTCATCCTCACCTCAACATCTTCATCCCCTCTCATCCCATCTCCGTCTCCATCCCCATCTCCATCCCTTCCCATCTCATCCCATACATCTGTATCCCATCTCCATCCCCACCCTATCCCCACCCTATCCCCATCGCCAACACATCCCCACCCTATCCCAAACCCCACCCCATCCCCACCCCATCCCATCTCCATCCCCATCCTCATCCCCATCCCTATCCCCATCCCCTCTCATCCCCACACCATCCCAACCTCTATCCGCATCTCCATCCCTATCCCCATCCCATCTCATCCCCACACCATCCCCACCTCCATCCCCATCCCATCCCCATCCCATCGCCACCCCCACCTCCATCCCCATCCTATCCCCATTCCCATCCCCATCCCCATCCCCATCCTCACCACATCCCATCCCCATCCCCATCCCCATCCTCATCCCCATCCTATCCCCATCCCATCCCCATCCTCATCCCCACGTATCCCCATCCCATCCCATCCCCATCCCCACCTCCATCTCCATCCCCATCCCCATCCCCACCCTATCCCCATCCCATCCCCATCCCCATCCCCACCCTATCCCCATCCCATCCCATCCCATCCCCATCCCCACCTCCATCTCCATCCCCATCCCCATCCCCATCCCCATCCCCCCCCATCCCCATCCCATCCCATCCCCATCCCCACCTCCATCCCCACCCCATCCCTCTCGCCATCTCTCCGCATGCCCTCCATACCCCTGTGCCCCCCAGACCCCTCACCCCCTCCCGTGCCCCCTGTGCCCCCATACCCACAGAGCTCTGCCGGATCCGGGCCCCTCCTGGTTACTCTCAGTTCTACTTCACGGACACCGTGGGCGGCCTCATCTCCTGCATCACCGCCTGCACCCCCAACAGACCCACCTCGCTGGATTGCCACTACGGGCAGTGCCGCGTCACCCTCCAAGGGCCCTCCTGCTTGTGAGTCATGGACCTGCTACCCCTATGGATCAACATCCCCATCCCATTGTCCCTATGGGTCAACATCCCCATCCCATTGTCCCTATGGGTCAACATCCCCATCCCATTGTCCCTATGGGTCAACATCCCCATCCCATTGTCCCTTTGGGTCAACATCCCCATCCCATCATCCCTATGGGTCAACATCCCCATCCCATTGTCCCTATGGGTCAACATCCCCATCCCATCGTCCCTATGGGTCAACAATCCCATCCCATCATCAGTATGGGTCAACATCCCCATCCCATCGTCCCTATGGGTCAACAATCCCATCCCATCATCAGTATGGGTCAACATCCCCATCCCATCGTCCCTATGGGTCAACATCCCCATCCCATTGTCCCTATGGGTCAACATCCCCATCCCATCGTCCCTATGGGTCAACATCCCCATCCCATCATCCCTATGGGTCAACATCCCCATCCCATCGTCCCTATGGGTCAACATCCCCATCCCATCATCCCTATGGGTCAACAATCCCATCCCATCATCAGTATGGGTCAACATCCCCATCCCATCGTCCCTATGGGTCAACATCCCCATCCCATTGTCCCTATGGGTCAATATCCCCATCCCATTGTCCCTATGGGTCAACAAACCCATCCCATCATCAGTATGGGTCAACATCCCCATCCCATCGTCCCTATGGGTCAACATCCCCATCCCATTGTCCCTATGTGTCAATATCCCCATCCCATCGTCCCTATGGGTCAACATCTCCACCCCATCATCCCTATGGTTCGGCATCCTCCTCCCATACCCACCCGATCCCCATCACGACATCCTTATGGACCCACCATCCCCATCCCATCTCCATCCCCGTGGCCCCACCATCACTATGTTCCCCCCATCTCACCCATGGCCCCACCATCACTATGTTCCCCCCATCTCTCCCATGGCCCCACCATCACTATGGTCCCCCCATCCCCCCCATGGCCCCACCATCCCCATGGCCCCACCATCACTATGGCCCCCCATCCCCCTCATGGACCCACCATCCCCATGGCCCCATCATCCCCATGGCCCCAGCATCCCTGTCATGGCCCCCCATCCCCATGGCCCTACCATCCCCATGGCCCCACATCCCCATGGCCCCACCATCCCCATGGCCCCACCATCCCCATGGCCCCACCATCACTATGCCCCCCCATCCCCCTCATGGCCCCACCATCCCCATGGCCCCACCATCACTATGGCCGCCCACCCCCATCATGGCCCCACCATCCCCATGGCCCCACCATCACTATGCCCCCCCATCCCCCTCATGGACCCACCATCCCTATGGCTCCACCACCACTATGCCCCCCCATCCCCCTCATGGACCCACCATCCCCATGGCCCCACCATCACTATGACCGCCCACCCCCATCATGGCCCCACCATCCCCATGGCCCCACCATCACTATGCCCCCCCATCCCCATCATGGACCCACCATCCCCATGGCCCCACCATCCCCATGGCCCCACCATCCCCCTTATGGACCCACCAACCCCATGGCCCCACATCCCCATCCCACCCCTATCCCTGTCCTTGGTTGGTGCTTGGTGGCCGTGTCCCCATGGAGGTGAAGGTCTCAGACCCATTCCCTGCTGCAGCTGCCAGGATGAAGCCTTCTTCTGGTACTCGGGCCCACAGTGCTCGGGGCGCATCAGCAAAGTGGCCACAGGCCTGGGGCTGGTGGCCACCGTCCTGCTCCTCACCTGCATCGTCCTCGGCATCATCGTGGCCAGGGAACGCCAGAGGAGGAGGATGTTGAGGTGGGATGGGAGGAACCTTCCCCGCTCTGGTTTCCTTGGTGTGGAGATCCCCATCCCCAGTCCAGCATCCCCATCCCAACATCCCCATAGACCCACCAGCCCCATCCCCATGGACCCATCGTCCCCATCCAAACATCCCCATCCCAACATCGTATCCCATCATCCCCATCCCAACATCCCCATAGACCCACCAGCCCCATCCCCATGGACCAATCGTCCCCATCCAAACATCCCCATTCTAACATCCTATCCCATCATCCCCATCCTAACATCCCCATCCCATCCGCGTTGTCCCATCATTACCATCCCAAGATCCCCACCCCAGCATCCCCTTGGACCCACCATCCCATCCCATCATCCCCATCCCACCATGGGCATCCTAACATGCCCATCCCACCCTCACGGACCCACTCTCCCCATCCCATCATCCCCATCCCACCATCTCCATCCCTCCATCCTCCACCCCCATGGAGCCACCATCCTCATCCCCATCCCAACATCCCCACTCCATGGACCCACCATCCCCATCCCACCATCTCCATCCCCATCCCACTATCCCAATCCCACCATCCCCATCCACCCACCATCCCCATCCCACTATCCCCATCTCATCATCCTCATCTCAACATCCCACCCCATCCCCATGGATCCACTATCCCCATCCCACTATCCCCATCCCACTATCCCCATCCCATCATCCCCATTCAAACATCCCCATCCCACCATCCCCATGGACCCACCATCCCCATCCCATGATCCCCATCCCACCATCCCATACCACCATCCTCATCTAACCATCTCCATCCCCATCCAAACATCCCCATCCCACCATCCCCATGGACCCACCATCCCCATCCCACTATCCCCATCCCACCATCCCCATGGACCCACCAGCCCCATCGCATCATCCCCATCCCAACATCCCATCCCACCCCCATGGACCCACCATCCCCATCGCACTATCCCCATCCCATCATCCTCATCCCAACCCTCCCCATCCCACCATCCCCATGGACCCACCATCCCCATCGCACTATCCCCATCCCATCATCCTCATCCCAACATCCCATCCCACCCCCATGGACCCACCATCCCCATCGCACTATCCCCATCCCATCATCCTCATCCCAACATCCCATCCCACCCCCATGGACCCACCATCCTCATCCCACTATCCCCATCCCATCATCCCCATCCAAACATCCCCATCCCACCATCCCCATGGACCCACCATCCCCATCGCACTATCCCCATCCCACCATCCCCATCCCACCATCCTCATCTCACCATCTCCATCCCCATCCCACTATCCCCATCCCACCATCCCCATGGACCCACCATCCCCATCGCATCATCCCCATCCCAACATCCCATCCCACCCCCATGGACCCACCATTCCCATCCCACTATCCCCATCCCATCATCCCCATCCCAACATCCCATCCCACCCCCATGGACCCACCATCCCCATCGCACTATCCCCATCCCATCATCCTCATCCCAACATCCCATCCCACCCCCATGGACTCACCATCCTCATCCCACTATCCCCATCCCATCATCCCCATCCAAACATCCCCATCCCACCATCCCCATCCCATGATCCCCATCCCACCATCCCCATCCCACCATCCTCATCTCACCATCTCCATCCCCATCCAAACATCCCCATCCCACCATCCCCATGGACCCACCATCCCCATCCCACTATCCCCATCCCACCATCCCCATGGACCCACCATCCCCATCCCATCATCCCCATCCCAACATCCCATTCCACCCCCATGGACCCACCATCCCCATCCCACTATCCCATTCCCACCATCCCCATCCCAACATCCCATCCCCCCCCCCATGGACCCACCATCCCCATCCCACTATCCCCATCCCACCATCCCCATCCCAACATCCCATTCCACCCCCATGGACCCACCATCCCCCTCCCACTATCCCCATCCCATCATCCACATCCTAACATCCCATCCCACCCCCATGGACCCACTACCCCCATCCCATCATCCCCATCCCAACATCCCATCCCACCCCCATGGACCCACCATCCCACCCCACCACCATCCCCATCCCAGCTCCTCTGAGCCCCCTTCCCGTTGTCCCCCCAGTGACCATCAATCTTCCGTCGCTGGCTCCTGGTACGAGGAGGACTCCCTCTCCTGGCGCTCGCCTGATGGCTTCCTCTACAGCGACGTGGGAGCAGGGGGCACCATCAGGGACCCCAGCACCAGGTCCTGGGGGCGGCCCAGCCCACCCCAGCCCCACCGTGGAGGTGGCGAGAGTCAACGCAGCTTCACGCCTGCACTGGAGATGGTGGACACGTCCGTTCCGGTGCGTCCTCCTCCAGCACCATCCCACCGCCATGGGGACCACCCCACGCCCTTCTCACCCCCTTCCTTCCTTCTCCCCCTTGCAGATGAAGATCTCCAGGCCACAGGTTGCCACCAAGCTTTGACCCAGGATGAAGGCCTCAAGCAACGGGGTCTTCTAAGGGGAGACCCAAATCTGGGCTGCCAGCGCGCGGGACATGCTGGAAGATGGATGAGATGGGGTTGGATGACCCAGTGTTGGGTTGGACAACTCAATATTGGGTTGGAGAACTCAATATTGGGTTGGGGAGCCCAATATCGGGTTGAACAACTCAACACGGGGTTGAAGAACTCAACATGGGGTTGGACAACTCAATATGGGGTTGGAGAACCCTACAAGGGGTTAGAGAACCCAAACTGGGCTTGGAGAACCCAATAAGCCGTTGGAGAACCCAACATGGGCGTGGAGAACCCAGCGTTGGGTTGGAGACCTTTCATGCTCCCTATTTATTGGGATGATGAAGCTTGGGGAGGTCCAGTGAGGATGATGCCCCATCAAAGGGGATGAAGGACTCCTCAAGGGGTGCTGGCCACCACCGAGGACCTTTCCCTGCTCCGCTTTGATGTGTTGGAATAAAGGTTCCATTTCTACCACTGCAGATGCTCTCCTTCCTGGTGGGACACAGGGGATGGGTGGCCCTGGGTGCTCTATCTGGGTGAGGTGATGACGTGTCCGTCAGGTGACTCAGCCCCAGAGGTGGCAACACCCTAAGGTGGGGCCGGGAGGGGACCTCGCCTGAATCTTATCAGGGTGAGGCCACCACCGGGTCCCTCCCTGGTCTATGGGGCAAGGGTTGGACGTGGTGGGTCACCATGGGGACACCCTGGGGCTGCTGTCTATGGGCTTGGCTGGAGATTACTCATGGGGCTGTTGACCTTGTGGTTGGTGACCACATAGCTCCGGGGCACAAAGCCACAGTCTCGGGCCCTGCAGCTCAGTTGCTCCTTCAGCCCCTGGTGATGGTGAGGATGGAGCTTGGTGGCTTCATCCTCATCCTCCTCCTCTTCACCCCCGTGGAGGCGCAGTCAGGTAAGGGTTGGGGGGAGGTCGGAGCATTTGGATCCATTGGGAGCTCTTTGGACTCTCAACTGTCCCAGCCTGGTATCCCCAGGGGTCCCCTTCCCTTCTCTAGGGGTGAGGAAGTTCTGTTGTCTCCAACAAGGGTTTGGGGTGGTTGTGGGACACCGCAGCTCCTTCCTCATGCCCATCCCATCCCACCCCACCCGCTCCCATCCCATCCCGTCCCATTCCATCCCATCCCATCCCCAGGTCTTCTGGGGGATTCAGGTGGTGCTGACCCATCACATGTGGGGTGGGGGTAGAACCTGCTCTCCCAGGCCTTTATCCCACCTCACTGTCCCCATCCCACCCCCTTCTTACCATCCCCTTCCCTTCCCCATCCCACCATCCCCATCCACATCCCCATCCCATCCCACCATCCCTTTCCCACCATCCCCATTGCACCACCCCCATCCCACCAACCCCATACTACAACCCCTTCCCACCATCCCCTTCCCATTCCCATCCCATCCCACCATCTCCAACCATCCCCATCCCATCCCTATCCCAACATCCCCATACTACAACCCCTTCCCACCATCCCCTTCCCATTCCCATCCCATCCCACCATCTCCAACCATCCCCATCCCATCCCTATCCCAACATCCCCATACTAAATCCCTTCCCACCATCCCCAACCATCCCCATCCCATCCCTATCCCAACATCCCCATCCCACCATCCCCTTCCCACCATCACCATCCCCTTCCCATCCCCATCTTCATCCCACAATTACTTTCCATCATCCTCATACCACCATCTCCTTCCCACCATCCCCATCCCCATCCCACCATCCTAACGTCCCACCATCCCCTTCCCATCTCACCATCCCCATCCCACCATCCCCATCCCACCATCCCTATCCCACCATCCCTATCCCACATCCCCTTCCCATCTCACCATCCCCATCTCACCATCCCTATCCCACCATCCCTAACCCATATCCCCTTCCCACCATTCCCATCCCATCTCCTTCCCCATCCCTATACCACAATCCCCTTTCCATCATCCCCTTCCCACCATCCCACCATCCCCATCCCACCATCCCCTCCCTATCCCCTTCCCATTATCCCCATCCCATCCCCTTCCCACCATCCCCATGCCCATCCCCATCCCACCATCCCCATCCCACTATCCCCTCCCTATCTCCTTCCCACCATCCCCATGTCCATCCCCATCCCACCATCCCCATCCCACCATCCCCATCCCATCCCACCATCCCCTCCCCATTATCCCCATCCCATCCCACCATCCCCTTCCCATTATCCCCATCCCACCATCCCCATCCCATCCCACCATCCCCTTCCCATTATCCCCATCCCATCCCACCATCCCCTTCCCATTATCCCCATCCCCATCCCACCATCCCCATCCCACCATCCCCATCCCACTATCCCCTCCCTATCCCCTTCCCAACATCCCCTTCCCATTATCCCCATCCCCACCCCACCATCCCCATCCCACCATCCCCATCCCACCATCCCCATCCCATCCCACCATCCCCTTCCCATTATCCCCATCCCATCCCACCATCCCCTTCCCATTATCCCCATCCCCACCCCACCATCCCCTTCCCACCATTCCCTTTCCATCCCCATCCCACCACCCCGATCCCACCCCCTGCCCCACGCCCCCATAACCCGCGCTGTCCCCAGCTCCCTGTGACAACGGTGGCACCCTGGTGGGACCCGTCTGCCTGTGTCCTCCTGGCTACAACGGGACCCACTGTGAGCACTGGGACCCCTCCCGGGCCTGTCACAACGGCGGCACCGCTGTGGGCACCCAGTGCTATTGTCCCCCGGGCTTTGGGGGTCCCCTCTGCCAGCACCCCAACGCCACCAGCGCCTGCAGGAACGGGGCCACCGCCTTCGGCACCTCCTGCCTCTGCCCCCCAGGGTACTGGGGAGATGTTTGCCAGCACCAGCACCAGGTCAGCTCCTGCCTCAATGGGGGGACATTGGTGGAAGGGGGCTGTCATTGCCCCCCAAGTGCTTGGGGACCTCGGTGTGAGTGCACCGCCCCCACGGCCACCACCACGGCCGTCACCGTGGTCACCAAGGTGGGCACAGAGAAGGTCTCAGTGACGATGGTGTCTGTGGAACACGTCACGCGTCCCATGGAGGGCAATGTCCTGACCAGTGTGGAGAGGAGCAGGGTGGTCATGGACAGCACCACCATGGCCATGGACAACACCACCATGGCCATGGACAGCACCACCATGGCCATGGACAGCACCACTATGGTCATGGACAACACCACCATGGCCATGGACAACACCACCATGGCCATGGACAGCACCACTATGGTCATGGACAACACCACCATGGTCATGGACAACACCACCATGGTCACGGACAACACCACCATGGTGATGGAGAGGAGCACCATGGCCACACTAGAGACAACCGTAGAGGGGAACACCACAGCCAACCCTATAGAGAGGAGCACCATGGTCATGGACAACACCACCATGGTCATGGACAGCACCACCATGGCCATGGAGAGCAACAACACAGCCAACCCCATAGAAGGCAACACCATGGCCATGGAGAGGAGCACCATGGCCACACTAGAGACAACCACAGAGGGGAGCACCACAGCCAACCATATAGAGAGGAGCACTATGGTCATGGACACCACCACCACATCCATGGACAGTGCCACCGTAGCCATGGAGAGAAGCACCATAGAGGGGAACAGCACAGCCAGCCCCATGGAGAGGAGCACCATGGTCATGGACAACACCACTATGGCCATGGAAAACAGCACGACAGACATGGCAAACAGCACCATGGCCAACCCTACGGACAGGAACACCACGGCCAACTCCATAGAGGGTAACATCACGGCAACCTTGGAGACCAACACCATGGTCATGGAGAGGAGCACCATGGCCACACTAGTGACCCCCATAGAGAGCAGCACCACAGCCATCCCCATGGAGAGGAACACCACAGCCATGGACAACAACACAATGGCCATGGAAAGCAACACCCTGGCCAACTCCATGGCCAGCAACACCACGGTCGTGGAGAGGAGCACCATGGCTACACTGGTGACCCCCATAGACGGGAACACCACGGCCAACCCTATGGAGAGGAGCACCATGGTCATGGATAACACCACCATGGTCCTGGATAGCACCACCATGGTCATGGGTAACACCACCATGGTCATGGATAACACCACCATGGTCATGGATAACACCACCATGGTCATGGATAACACCACCATGGTCATGGATAACACCACCACGGTCAAGGACACCACCACATCCATGGAGAACATCCTCATGACTCCCAGCACCACCATTGCCACCCCAGCTCCAACTCAACCCAACACCACCCACAACGTCCCCATTGATGCCACCACAGGGTGTGCTGGGACCTGCACCAGCCCCACCACGGTGGCCACCACTGGCACCCCATGGTCCTCTCCACCCAGCATCACCACCACCATCACCAACAGCACCATGGCCACATTCTGCCTCTACCTCCCACATGGATCCAACCCTCCAGCCAGTGGGTGATGTGATGGTGGGGACCTTGGGTGGTGGGGTCTCCATTGGGGTGGTGGGTTCTTCATTGGCTGATTGGTTCTCCACGGGGTGATGGGTTCTCCATTGAGATGATGGGTTCTCCATTGCGTGATGGGTTTTTCATGGGGAGGTGGGCTCCAGTTGGGCTGATGGGCTCTCCACTGAGGTAATGGGTTCTCCATGGGGTGATGGGTTCGCCATGGGGTGATGGGCTCTCCATTGGGATGGTAGGTTCTTCATTGTGTGGTGGGTTTTCCATGGGGGTGGTGGGCTCTCCATTGAGTAATGGGCTCTCCATTGGGGTGATGGGTTCTCCATGGGGTGATTGGTTCTCCTTGGGGTGTTGGGCTTTCTGTGGGGTGATGAGTTCTCCATTGGGACGGTAGGTTCTCCATTGTGTGGTGGGTTTTCCATGGGGATGGTGGGATCTCAATTGGGTGATGGGCTCTCCACTGGGGTGATGGGTTCTCCTTGGGGTGTTGAGTTCTCCATGGGGTGATGGGTTCTCCATTGGAATGGTGAGTTCTCCATGGGGGTGGTGCATTCTCCATAGGGTTGATGGGATCTCCATGGGGTGATCAATTCTTCACTTCTGATGGGTTCTCCATTGAGGTGTTGGGTTCTCCACTGAGGTGTTGGGTTCTCCATTGGCTGATGAGTTCTCCACGGGTGTTGGGTTCTCTATGGGGTGATGGGCTCCCCATTGGGGTGATGGGTTCTCTATGGGGTGATGGGTTCCCCATTGGGGTGATGGTTCTCTATGGGGTGATGGGTTCCCCATTGGGGTGATGGGTTCCCCATTGGGGTGATGGGCTCTCTATGGGGCTGAGGGGTTCCCCATTGGGGTGTTGGGTTCTCCATGGGGTGATGGGTTCCCCATTGGGCTGTTGGGTTCTCCATGGGGTGATGAGTTCCCCATTGGGTTGTTGGGTTTTCCATTGGCTGATGGGTTCTCCACAAGGTGTTGGGTTCTCCATGGGGTGAGGGGTTCCCCA